GTTACAATTGCCAATTTTCCCGAACTTGTTCTGTATTATTGGACGAACATTTTGCTATATACCTTGAAGTGTACCGAACTTGTTCTGTATTATTGGACGAACATTTTGTTATCTACCTTGAAGTTTAACAAACTTGTTCTGTATTATTGGACGAACATTTTGTTATCTACCTTGAAATGTACCGAACTTGTTCTGTATTATTGGACAAACATTTTGTTATCTACCTTGAAATGTACCGAACTTGTTCTGTATTATTGGACAAACATTTTGTTATCTCCCTTGAAGTGTACCGAACTTGTTCTGTATTATTGGACAAACATTTTGTTATCTCCCTTGTAGTGTACCGAACTTGTTCTGTACTATTGGACGAACATTTTGTTGTCTCCCTTGAAGTGTACCGAACTTGTTCTGTATTATTGGACCGGAGCATTTTGTTATCTACCTTGAAGTGTACCGAACTTGTTCTGTATTATTGGACGAGCATTTTGTTATCTACCTTGAAGTGTACCGAACTTGTTCTGTATTATTGGACGAGCATTTTGTTATCTACCTTGAAGTGTACCGAACTTGTTCTGTATTATTGGACGAGCATTTTGTTATCTACCTTGAAGTGTACCGAACTTGTTCTGTATTATTGGACGAGCATTTTGTTATCTACCTTGAAGTGTACCGAACTTGTTCTGTATTATTGGACGAGCATTTTGTTATCTCCCTTGAAGTGTACCGAACTTGTTCTGTATTATTGGACGAGCATTTTGTTATCTACCTTGAAGTGTACCGAACTTGTTCTGTATTATTGGACGAGCATTTTGTTATCTACCTTGAAGTGTACCGAACTTGTTCTGTATTATTGGACGAGCATTTTGTTATCTCCCTTGAAGTGTACCGAACTTGTTCTGTATTATTGGACGAGCATTTTGTTATCTACCTTGAAGTGTACCGAACTTGTTCTGTATTATTGGACGAGCATTTTGTTATCTCCCTTGAAGTGTACCGAACTTGTTCTGTATTATTGGACGAGCATTTTGTTATCTACCTTGAAGTGTACCGAACTTGTTCTGTATTATTGGACGAGCATTTTGTTATCTACCTTGAAGTGTACCGAACTTGTTCTGTATTATTGGACGAGCATTTTGTTATCTACCTTGAAGTGTACCGAACTTGTTCTGTATTATTGGACGAGCATTTTGTTATCTACCTTGAAGTGTACCGAACTTGTTCTGTATTATTGGACGAGCATTTTGTTATCTCCCTTGAAGTGTACCGAACTTGTTCTGTATTATTGGACCGGAGCATTTTGTTATCTCCCTTGAAGTGTACCGAACTTGTTCTGTATTATTGGACCGGAGCATTTTGTTATCTACCTTGAAGTGTAAAATATTTGTTATTCTCTGTTTTATACAGTAGTATGCATTTGATTTTTACACAAGTTTTACCTCACTTCTTCTTTTATTAAATTACGTCCTTGTAATTTTCTAATAAAAAAGAGGAAAACGTCCAAATGTTTACAATGAAATAGTCTCAATTTAGACTTTGCTGAATCTTGAAATCAAATATGCTTCACTTTTCGCCCTTCGCCACTCGTGCATTAAATATATTAGTTCCTGCTCGAAAAAAGGATTGTAGAAACATCACTCTATTTTAAATGTCCATTGTGTACTGTGATATAATTACTCTCTCTTTGTAACTATATCGCCGGAATTATTTCATGATTGTTCCTTTGAGAGTACGGATATTATACAGATTTACAAGCAATCACTTGAGAAATACAGTCGACGCTTCAAACGAGATTTATTTTTTTAAACAGAAACAATTATATGACAAACTTGGAGGTTGTGTGTTGAATTGTCGTATTATTTCCAGTGCTCATGGAACAAATTAACTATTTTTCAGATATCAATATATTAATGTTTTATATAAAAATTGTCAATTATATTTGTAATTTTCTTCTCGCTTTATGTCTAATAATCTCTACACGAAAATGTTATTTTTGTCTTAATAAACATTGATATTGAAGACTAATACAGATCAGACCATCCTGTCTCAACTTCATTTATATTAGTTCTTTCATAAAATATCGTCCCATGATCATCTGTTTCCAAATCATCTTAAATTAAACATGGAGCAAGTGTTTCATTCGAATTTAGAAATATTTGTTTCTCTTAACGAAGCATTTTTAAATCTTAGAAGTTTTGGAATCGTTGAATTAATTGAACAAATGGATGAACGTTAATTGGTTGACGTTTTTTGCTAGTAAGTTCCAAACAGCATTGCCATTTGTTGTGCAAGGGTAATGATTACAAATCACAAGGATTCAAAGCCAATTGTCAAACAGTCAAGCAAGGCACACACGCACTGTATAGGAATTAATTCCATTTATCCGTTGATGTTTCCACGATACAAAATTAGTTAATGTACTTTCTGCTTTGAACGAAAAAAATAATACAACTATTAAAAAGGGCATTGAAATGTCCATTACAAAAACAGTTATGATTTATGCTTAAACTAGTATCTTAATTGAGTCAAAGTTTGTTAAAAAACAAACAAAAAAAACAAACAAACAAACTTTTAATTGTTTTCATCGTTTCATCTGTATTCATCTGTTTTACTGAATGATCTTTTTCAAATTTTTATCTCCCGCGAATTTATGTTATACATAATTCTATAGTAAATTCATTCATTGTATGGTAAAAAGAACGAACCTTGTTATGGGGAGGATTGGTGCCGTAAAACATTTTTAACCCCTCCACTTTTATGTATGTGCCTGTCAGAGACTGCGGTTCAGTGGTTGTCGTTGGTTCATGTCTGTCATATTTGTTTTTCGTAAATTACTTTGCTATAAATTAGGTCGTTAGTTTTCTCAATTGTTTTTTCTTTCATAATTTTCATGTCGGGGCCTTTTATAGCCAACTATACGGTATGGGTTTTTTCTAATTGTTGAAGGCCGTACGGTTGCATATAATTGCTTACATCCACTTCATTTGAACTTTGGTTGATAGCCGTCTCATTGGCAATCATACCACATCTCCATATTTTTCACGTGTTCTATATACTGTTACCGTCGTACATTATTTCCGGGGATTGTAAGCTATATAGTTTATAAATATCTTTAATTGATACCAATAAACTTATTGTTCTCTACAGAAAAAAGAAACCTTATTTTAACTCGTTCGAGTATTTTATCATTGTTATAATTTAGACATAATTTTGGATAATGATTGGCTTTAAGTTAAGGATTATAATAGAACTTCATTCATCCGTTAAGCTGCGAAGGAGAGAATTTCCTTTTGTAAAAATATCCTTCAGAATATTTTTACTGCAAAACAAAATGTTCATTTTTTCGCACATCTCCCATTGTTATCATTAAAAGTTAATCTTTAGATGTTTTGATATTTTTTTTAAATTCTTCCATTCCATATGTATTAATTGATAAAGGTTTTATTCTATTTCCACCATTATATACAATTTTAACTTGGTTTCTTATTCTTATTTTGAACCACTTGCATTATGTATTAAAAATATAAAAAAGGAGATATCGGGTATACTTCAAAGAGACAGTTACCAAACAACACAAAGAAACAATTGGACATCTAGAGGTCAACATACGGTCACCAATAGTAGACACGTGTCTTTATAATATATCAAGCTCTCAATCGCTCCCACTCTAAAAAGTGTTTATTAGAATAAACAGATACTACCCAAAACAATTAGTTAAAGGTTTGGCACTCTCAAAATATAACTTTTTTGAGTAGAGCGAAAGAAGATCCAATTCTTCATATTTGGTATTTCATATTACAGACCTATAATTTCCTTTATTTCCTCTTCAGTTATTGTTGTTGGAGAATTTGTTGTGTTATCATTTGACAATAACTATTTCTGTACCAAGCAATTTACATTATATACACAGATAAAAACGATATTGTTTTGTGCGTAGTCAATTGGACCATCACCATATTTAACGTGGAGGTAGACTTCGCAACATTTGGTTCTTTGAAGATGGATGAAGTGTTAATATCTACAGACAATTTCTAATAATTATCATTTTTTTTTATTAAATTTGAAGTACGACTTCGTTGCATATAAGATTCATCAGCATGCAAGTACTCATTAACTGTCTTTCTTTGTGGATGTATTTCAAATATACTGACTTTATATCCTTATTTTCATGAACAACGATCAGAACGTTTTCTTCATCGATGGTACCTTAATAATTGTTTAACATTTTCGAGTAAAACTTGCAGCTGATACTCCATTCGTGTTTTATCGTCCTGCATATGCATGCTACAATACTATATAGTATGGATTTGTGCATTGCTGAAGGCTGTAAGATAACCTAAAATTGCTTAAACCCACGTTATTTGGACCCTTTTTGGATTGTCTCATATATATGCTATAATTGCAAGTGGGCGTTAAGCAATCAATAATCATTCAATCAATCCAGCCATATTGAATCGTGTACACACATGTATTTGAAGTTAATAAAGCATTTGAGTGTTTTATCTTGAAATATCCACCGATTAATTAAAAGTCAAGTACCTTTACATGTATATATGATTGCAAACATGGCAATAGGTTAAATGCCATGATGTTTATAACGAAACAATCAAAATAATCTTCGATTTGTTATCAGATGTGTTTTTGCTGCATTTGAAAGCATTTATAATATAGATATAATAAATATATTACGATTTTGAAGACATTTCGACCCTGACTGACTCAACTTATGGCTTAAAATGAAGATAAACGGTAACTGCATGGAGAACTCTATTCGAAATATTGATGATGCACAAAAATTACCTCAATTCTATAACGAATCTGTTTATATATAAAGATATAAAATAAAACAATACTAGTTTGTATAGTAAATACTTCATTATTGAAAACTGGAAATTTGTATTATCAGTCACATCATACCAGTAGATATGGATAGAAAATGATCTGAAAATGAGACGTTATTTTCATTTTATTCGATTTTAATCTTTTTTATTTAATTTTTGCAGATTATGCTGTCGCCTACAAAACGTGCTACGCTGACGGAAACTGGTCGCGGACAGATTACAACGCATGTTTTCCTTTTATTCCAACGGATAACCCAATATCAGGGAGACATGTAAGTTATCTCACTTTATTACTTTATGAAAACATATTGAACACTTTAGGTCACAGCTTTTAACAGTCAAGACCTGATCTGTTTCTTTTGTTATCCCTTTGAAGCATGCGCCATATCGCCTTTTATTCATGTTATATACTATTAGAAGTTCTTCATAGTTGGAAGAAATAAGCCATTTTGATCAATAAAGTTCTGAATAAATAAACTTTTATTTTTGGGTCATCAAATATCAGAAATAGACATGGCAGATTTATTTGCGGGAGTAAGACGGTTTAATATTGCACGTTTGGAATGCTACCATTTTCGAAATTACGGTCAAGTCTTTATTGGTAAGTCGTCATACGTCGGTTTGATGTCAATTTGGTATATATCTCGCATCTCTTTAGTTCATACCCAATGATATTACAGTATTAAATTATGAAATCAGTTGCAATACTTCAAAAACGGTTTTATAACAAAATAAATAAGGAAGTACACCACTAATTCATGGCCGTATTGCTTTCTATGTTAAATTCCTCAATTTCAAGCAGGCACAGCTCTTTTGTTTTAAGTTGAAATAAAGTGACAATCATTGCATGACAAAGCAACACTTTATGGTGCCTTGTACTGAAAAAATCAACATACCTTTAATGGCATATGAGAAAGAACTGGTTCCCGGAACTTCGGATGTACCAAAAAAACAGGTACTTCAGATCTGACAAACAGGCAAAATGTACCCTCTATTTAAAATTTCATGCAATTTTTTTTATTATTCAAAATTATAAGTCAAAAAGTGTTCTACAATGATCACCAGTCATTCAGCTTTCATTTGATACCAAAATTACCTAAATATTCTACATATTTTGAACGTTACACCCATGCGTAGGAACTATTTTGTGTTAAATATGTACTACTTTCTGGTATGTGCTTTCTGACCGGGCCCGAATTAGTGGTGTTACACCTATAAGCAATTGCCAAGGTTGCTATTACATCCTACAAGCAGAAACAAAAGAACACGTGACAAGGTAGCTATTACATCCTATTAGCGGAAACAAAAGGACACGTGACAAGGTAGCTATTACATCCTACAAGCAGAAACAAAAGGACACGTGACAAGGTAGCAAGCAGAAACAAAAGGACTCGTGACAAGGTTTACAAATGCACTAGCTACAGAACACATGAAAGATGGAGTTTTAACCCAATCAAATCATTCTGTACTCTGTAATATTTTTGGACATGTTTTCTCGAAAACCGGTAGCATTAACGTTTTTCTTCTTTCCTATCTTTGTCTTTCCATAATAAAGATCGAGTGCAGTTGAAATTGTTCAATGAAGCACGAACTTTAAATCGGATAAGAATATATAACCATTTCTTCATTGAAATATTTTGCTTCTCGATTTAAACATTTCATGCTCAATGTGCGTCATTTCTCCTGTATAACAATCATTTTTCTTTATTTCAATGCATTTCAATTCAGTAAATACAGATCTCTCATACAAAGAAACTTAATCCGATTTCTATCTTAAAATGTTACAATGGTTTTTATTACCAATATTAATCTGAAACGGAAGAGAAACATTTGTTTTGGCCAAGTTATCCCTCAGAAAACAATTTGAAAATTTATAAGCTATTTTGTTCCTCACGATTTTCTTAACTGATGAACTTTAAATTCTTAGAGAAAGTAGTAATTGCATTGCCTTGAATTCAATCAGCTGATATAAACCGATGGTTTTGCGGTTGTAATTTATCTATTTTGCATCCTTTTCCACTGGTTTTCACATGTATGAAGTGTAACAATTGTGAGTTGCAAGAAATAAACGTTATATTGGAAATGCCACTGCATTTTTCTCTCCTATGGTCTTTGAAGAGTGTTTTTCAACTTATACTCCACCACACATCTGCTTTTCTTCGCATTGTACGTGTAATGACGGATATCTGTTATTCTTCGCATTGCACCTGCAATGACGGATATCCCTCATTCTTTGCATTGTACGTGTAATGACGGATATCTGTTATTCTTTGTTTTGCACGTGTAACGGCGGATATCTGATATGATTTGCATTGCACGTGTAATGAAGGATGTCTGTTATTCTTTGCATTGTACGTGTAATGACGGATATCTGTTATTCTCTGCATTGCACGTGTAATGACGGATATCTGTTATTCTTTGCATTGTACTTGTAATGACGAATATCTGTTATTCTTTTCCTACTTCCCATGTAACTTAGTTTTACGAATATTTAAGTAATTTTTATGACGGATGTTTCCTTTTTATTCCTATTGCAGGATGAATCAGAAGAATATAGAACCATACAAAGTAACAAAGCCGATGTAACACAGAATACTGATTACCTCTTTTTCTTCTTTTTCAGCCTCCACCCGATGAATATGAAAGTCATATTGCCCGTATTATGACGGATATATATTTTGTCTTCAGTATTATATCGCTGTTATTTCTACTTATTTCAATATTTATATTTATATACTTTAGGTAAGTAAATTTCACCTAGTTATAAGAGTATAGATATCAATGAACTAGATAATTTGTCACATTTTCTCTTATTTTATTTCGACCCGAACCAGTTGTTTTTAATGTATTCGCTTGTTCACAGATATAATTTGTCGAAATTTAATTATGATTATGACTGTAAATTCTCTTGTCATTCATTACTTTTTGTTATTGTAATGGCACGAAAAGGGGTTAGAATTATAACTTTTAAATAACTTTATCAACGGAGAATCCTATGTTTGCATTCAATTTGTTGTAAATGCCATTATAATTTGTGCTCTCCATTCAGAGTACCATAATTCGGTGTAAATGCCATTATAATTTGTGCTTTCCATTCAGAGTACCATAATTCGGTGTAAATGCCATTATAAGTTTGTGCTCTCCATTCAGAGTACCATAATTCGGTGTGAATGCCATTATAGTTTGTGCTTTCCATTCAGAGTACCATAATTCGGCGTAAATGCCATTATAGTTTGTGCTCTCCATTCAGAGTACCATAATTCGGTGTAAATGCCATTATAATTTGTGCTCTCCATTCAGAGTAACATAATTCGGTGTAAATGCCATTATAGTTTGTGCTCTCCATTCAGAGTACCATACTTCGGTGTAAATGCCATTATAGTTTGTGCTCTCCATTCAGAGTACCATAATTCGGTGTAAATGTCATTACAGTTTGTGCTCTCCATTCAGAGTACCATAATTCGGTGTGAATGCCATTATAGTTTGTGCTCTCCATTCAGAGTACCATAATTCGGTGTGAATGCCATTATAATTTGTGCTTTCCATTCAGAGTACCATAATTCGGTGTAAATGCCATTATAATTTGTGCTCTCCATTCAGAGTACTATAATTCGGTGTGAATGCCATTATAGTTTGTGCTTTCCATTCAGAGTACCATAATTCGGTGTAAATGCCATTATAGTTTGTGCTCTCCATTCAGAGTACCATAATTCGGTGTAAATGCCATTATAATTTGTGCTCTCCATTCAGAGTAACATAATTCGGTGTGAATGCCATTATAATTTGTGCTTTCCATTCAGAGTACCATAATTCGGTGTAAATGCCATTATAATTTGTGCTCTCCATTCAGAGTACTATAATTCGGTGTGAATGCCATTATAGTTTGTGCTTTCCATTCAGAGTACCATAATTCAGTGTAAATGCCATTATAGTTTGTGCTCTCCATTCAGAGTACCATAATTCGGTGTAAATGCCATTATAGTTTTTGCTCTCCATTCAGAGTAACATGTTGTGTTTTTTTTTTATTTACAGGTCTTTACATTGTCACAGAATAACAATACACATCCATATGTTTATATCATTTGTTATCAAATTTGTCATTATTATTGTCATGGTTGAGCCGGGTGTTACAAAAAGATCCAGTGGTACATATAAAGATATTGTAAGTATTAATTGGAATAACTTAATGTTATAATGTACTTTACGTTATTCATGATAAAGTAAAAAGCGAAGTAGGTAAATTGAATTTCATCCAGGTGACACATCTGGAGTAGGTATTATCTGCTTACCCTTCCGGAACACCTGCGATCACCGTATATTCCGTCTCTGATTTGCAGGACACCTACCCCCTTTTGTATATATTGTAAAGTTCGCGTTTTTTTTTGTAGGGAAAGCACACAATTCGTTTGAGTAACAAACTATAATAAAAGCGTGACATTAGGAATTGTCCTTTTAGAATATAATTTTGTCGGTTTACTTTTAATCATCCTTTAAATGATCAAACTCTCGTTATTTACACCAAACTGCCTTTAGCTGAAAAAAATGCATTTTGATTAAATAATGTTTTTATTTACTTAAAACACATTATATTATACAATTTCTATGTTTTTACAACATTAAGGTTCTATTTTGGTTGAAAGCGGGTCGATGTAACGGTAATGTGTCAAAGCTCGTTGTCAGGAGATTGTAGGCCATATAACATGCTTTACTGTAATTACATCGTATCGTTTAGTATGTAAACTAAACGTATGACGAACAAGTACTATCTTTAACAAAAATATCCGAAACATTTAGATTGGAGAATTTGTTTAAAAGAATCAAGTTTATGACTTTTTGATCATTTTAAATTGGCCTAAATTTGAGGGTTAAAGTCTGACAATTCTAACAATTGACATTAATATGATTTAACATCTTGAAATAAAGTGGTTAAGAATCTGGAATAGAAAATACATTTATATTCAATTGTACATATTTCAAATAACGAAATGTCAATGATAACTATACAAGGATAAACCAGGAAGTAAGAGTCATTATTTAGTCCATGTAATTGAGTTAGAGTCATAATTTGGCCAATGTAATTGAGTAAGAGTCATTATTTGGCCCATGTAATTGAGTAAGAGTTATTATTTGGCCCATGTAATTGAGTAAGAGTCATTATTTGGTCCATGTAAATGAGTAAGAGTTATTATTTGGTCCATGTAATTGAGTAAGAGTCATTATTTGGTCCATGTAATTGAGTAAGAGTCATTATTTGGTCCATGTAATTGAGTAAGAGTTATTATTTGGTCCATGTAATGTCCATGTAATTGAGTAAGAGTCATTATTTGGCCCATGTCATTGAGTACGAGTCATTATTTGGCCCATGTCATTGAATAAGAGTCATTATTTGGCCCATGTCATTAAGTAAGAGTAATTATTTGGCCCATGTCATTGAGTAAGAGTCATTATTTGGTCCATGTCATTGAGTAAGAGTCATTATTTGGTCCATGTCATTGAGTAAGAGTCATTATTTGGCCCATGTCATTGAGTAAGAGTCATTATTTGGCCCATGTAATTGAGTAAGAGTCATTATTTGGCCCATGTAATTGAGTAAGAGTCAATTATTTGGCCCATGTAATTGAGTTAAAGTCATTTTTTGGCCCATGTAATTGAGTTAGAGTCATTATTTGGTCCATGTTATTGAGTAAGAGTCATTATTTGGCCCATATCATTGAGTTAGAGTCATTATTTGGCCCATGTAATTGAGTTAGAGTCATTATTTGGTCCATGTCTTTGAGTAAGAGTCATTATTTGGTCCATGTAATGGAGTAAGAGTTATTATTTGGCCCATGTTATGGAGTAAGAGTCATTATTTGGCTCATGTAATGGAGTAAGAGTCATTATTTGGCTCATGTTATGGAGTAAGAGTCATTATTTGGCCCATGTAATGGAGTAGGGTCATTATTTGGCCCAATATAATTGAGTAAAAGTCATTATTTGGCCCATGTAATTGAAAAAATACCCAAATTACTCAAGCCTTTCAAATTTATGTTTATTTCATTGATAAATGAGCAGGTTAATTTCATCTGGACATTTAAGTGCAGAAAGGTAACTTGTGTCGTCATAATCCTGTTGAAATTGACACATTTGACCAAAAATTACCATTTTACTCATGCCTCGTTCACACGGACATTTAATTCGAATTGAATTCGAATCGAATGCGAATCGAATTCGCTAATCGCGTTCACACACTCTTCTTTTTTAATTCGAATTGATTCGAATTGGCTAAATCGCATTATCCAATTCGCATTAGAAATGCGTTTTTGTTAATACGAATTAAAATTTAACGTCGTTCGGACAGTAAAGCGAATTTAACGCGCATTGCAATTCGAATTAGAATTTACGTTTGGACGTAAAACGTTTCGAATGCGAATTAAACTAATTCGAATTAGTTAATGCGAATCGAATTCGAATTACGTGTGAACGCAGCATTAGATTCACTGCTGTATTTATTCATGGGACAAAATTACTATACACAATGGACAAACCCAAAGCAAAAATCCACCATCTGTTTTGCTGTTGTTAGCCATTTGTATGGTAGAAAGGATCAAGTCAACTAGTTTGAAAAATGTAATGACAATAAAACGCCCCTTTTGATGTTGATCCTTAGCAGAACATGATGTAAATGTTTTCACATGGCAATCTCTTGTATCAATTTACTTTGTTAACAACTCATGCTAAATACAGTATCTTTTTTGCCGACACTAATTCAGAGAAATACCTGATAATGGCGCGATATTATATATACCTAATCATGGCGCGATATTAGGGACGTATCATTTTTTACCTGGGAGGGGGCTGGTCATTTTGAAATCAAAAATACAAAATTTCTTGATCCCCCATAATATTTCACTATTTTTATTTGATCCCCCCCCCCCTGTGAAAACATTTAAAAAATGTGATCCCCCCTCTATTAAACATGCCAAAATTTTAACATGCAAAACACTTATCATTTTATTTCACGAACATATTGAAAATGAAATATTCTCAGTGGATTGAGTCCAAAAACATATTTGAGGGAAAATTGCCTTGAAATAGGGCTCTTCCATGAATATTAGAAGTTGAGCAAGCCAGTGCTTTGAGTAGCTTATTCTGACTTTTTTTCTAATTTCCTATATTGGGCTATTAAAGAAAACTTGATCCTAAGTAACTCTGTAAAAATTTACATTAAAAAGTTAACTTTTCGAAACAGTAACAACACATTATTTACTAAGAGGGGTCTATTATATGTTCCTCTCTTGAACGCTGCTTAAACTTAAGGCCTTATTGAAACCTCCATTGAGTCGCTAAACTTTTATATGGATAGTTCATTTCAGCTTGAACAATTCAATTACTCATTTATTGTCACATTTCATTCATAAATGTGTGATAGTAACCTCAAAATTTAGATTTATTAGCCTAAAAAGTACAAATTTTGAGGGAGTGTGAGGTACATGTATAAATGGAGTCAAAGGGATCTTGTAATGAAAACAAAAAGATACATAATGGTTGATCATCATCTCAGAATCATCTTTTGTATCAATATTCAACTGTTTGTATGCAATATTTAATCATTTATTGGAGAAGATATTGCTCTACACTATATTCTTTCATGATGCGGCGTGATTTGTATTTTTGGACAAAATTTTGCACAAATCGCTGAATGCAGATTTCGTTTTAATTTATTTTTAATTTCTCTCAAACTATTAAGCTGATTATAACAAAACTTGGCAGTAATGCTTGTCAATTTAGTGATCGAAGTGAGTGAAATATAACGACTGAATAATTCGGATTATGAAGCACCTATGCATTTTATATGGGACAAAATGACACAAAATGGCAGCTTCCTACATCACCAAAGTCTTGTGATGTCTTACTTAATTGTATATGAATGGTGTTAAAGATATATTTTCGATTTGACTGTTTTATAATGTTCTTCTTGATATTTTGTCTCTTGAAGTACATTTGTATATGAACTACTAATTTCCATGTGCAAAAAATATTGATCCCCCCACTTTGAATTTATAAAAAATTTGAACCCCCCTTTTCCACATACAGAAAAAAAACTTGATCCCCCCCCTGCATTTTGACCAGCCCCCCCCCCCCCCTTCCCAGATAAAAAATGGTAAGTCCCTTATATATACCTGATAATGGCGCGATATTATATATACCTGATAATGGCGCGATATTATATATACCCGATAATGGCGCGATATTATCTTTAATCACATCCCAGAACAGAATTTATACAAATTTTTCTTGTAGGTCTATCCTGATATACAAGATAATTAGCTAATTCTTGTCCTTTGCTTGTTTACCATCTATCTAATTGTAGACCTACAAATATGAAAATAAGGAGATGACTTTTGTAATAAAATTCACATTCTAAGTGAGAATTTAACTGCGAGTTGTTTTTGGCGAATATATAGGATGGGGGTCTATTATATGAAATCCCACTTATCACCCCGACTTTTGTACTTCTCTTCTTCATTGAAGAGGTTTTGATGTATTGTTTATCGTTTTAGGAATGGTTATGTAAGACGTTGATAGCCTTACGAGAGTATGGAAATACATCTAATATGTACTGGATGTTTGTAGAGGGGATGTATCTACATAACCAGATAGCTGCTGCTGTATTTAGTACTGAGGCACCATTTAAACTATTCTGTTTTATAGGATGGGGTTAGTTCTGGAGTTAACTCCCTTTAAATAACAAAAGATGTATTCTGTTTTATATAATGAAAAAAGTTTCGGAGTTCGCATTCTTAATTATTTTGTTTTATAGGGCAGGGCAGAGACATATAAAGCCATATTTCTCTGAGTGTGGAAAATTCCACAGTTAGCTTTAAATTATTCGTTTTATTGAATGTCCTCTGGTGAATAGTTGTCTCATTGGCAATCATATCACATCACGTTAATTCGTGACTTAAAATTAGAAAGTAAAACATGTATCGTAAAAAAGTATAACAAAAATATCGAACTCCAAGGTACTAGTAAATTAATAGAAAAAGAAATGGGAGCTTAAATCAAAAGGGAATAGAATAGAAGACCCAAAACCATTTGAAGCCAAATGTGTTTATTAAACATTGAAGGAAAACAAAAATGCTAATTATTTTTTGAATAACAGTCCTAAAGTAATTCTTTGGTCCTCTTTCAGAAAACGTGAAAATGATGTGTAATTAATAGTTAAATTAAATGAAAGTGTGTTCTAATAATCACAATTGTATATGTAGTATTTTAAACAACAGTTTTGGAGGGTGTTTGGTGATGTAGTGTATATTATAATGCAATATTTCATTTTAGGGGTGCCAGGAATAATTGTATTAGCTTGGTCCATTATTATGCAGTGTACATCTGATAAGCCATGTTGGAATTATTATTCCCAGTCAGACTGGATTTATTTAGTGTTGGTTCCATTTTTAGTTGTTATATTTGTAAGTATAACTATTCTAATCAGTGATTTGGTGCTGACAACACAATGTATAGGTTTATTTGGTGCTGACAACACAATGTATAGGTTGGTTTGGTGCTGACAACACAATGTACAGGTTTATTTGGTGCTGACAACACAATGTATAGGTTGGTTTGGTGCGCTGACAACACAATGTATAGGTTTATTTGGTGCTGACAATACAATGTACAGATTTATTTGGTGCTGACAACACAATGTATAGGTTGATTTGGTGCTGAAAACACATTGTATAGGTTTTTATAAAGCAGTATCACCTCTAATGTTATTTGGTGCTGAAAACAGAATGTATAGGTTTTTATAAAGCAGTATCACCTCTAATGTTATTTGGTGCTGAAAACACAATGCATAGGTTTTCATAAAGCAGTCTCACCTCTAATGCTATTTGGTGCTGAAAACACAATGCATAGGTTTTCATAAAGCAGTATCACCTCTAATGCTATTTATGTTGGCGTTTGATTTTGTTGCACTTCAGTGTATTTGTTGTTCCTTTGTTTTCCTCTTATAGTTGATGTGTTTCCCTCGGTTTTAGTTTGTAACGCGGATTTGTTTTCTCTCAATCGTTTTGTGACTTTTGAACAGCAGTATACTACTATTGCCTTTATCTGGCATTACATTTCAATCACATTACCAGGACATTATTTTTCGTGACGACAATAGTTATATAATTCAGTCGAAGATGACCGATATGTTTTGACTGCCTAAACAGGCCTCGACTTATGAGTTTGAATGTCCCTTGGTATCTTTAGCCTTTCTTTTGCATGGTCGGCTTGATTCCTTGCACGTGTTTGGGGAGCTTTAAATACTTTGGTTTGTGTCGCTATTAAAGTTGCCGAGGCAAGAGGTCGCCATTTTGGTTTAATTATTGTTGTGTTGGTTTCTTCTGGATTGAAGTTGACTGGTTTGGTAAGTCGTATTTGATAATTGCAGGAATCATACGACGCACTTAAGCGTACTACTTTTGTCGTTCGAACTCCCTTCACGGAATATATTACTCATTACATATACAATACAAACTAAATTGTTGATATTAGCTGTGAATACTAAGAATTTGGATTTTCTTATACATTTGACCGCCTACAAAACTTTGAATTGTTCGAATTACTAAGGATTTTCTACCCCATGGCAGGAATAGATCGCAAAAGATGTATTTGGCAAAACCTTTCGGAATTTTTGGTCAACAATGCTCTTCAAGTTCGTACTTGTTTTTGCCTTTTAACTGCTTTTATTCGAGCATTTGTAGACGAAATACGCGCCTGGCGTACAAAATACCTGGTACCTGTTCTTAACTATGTGTGTCGTTGTCATATAACCTAAACAACCAATATATATAACCTTGGAATCGGCTTCATTTTTGTCTCCTCGCTGAGATTATGATATCTTATTTACAGTTAATTGACAATTTTCCACATCACTTTTAAATCAATTATAATACCCATGAGAAAAACCACGGCGACATTTACACTTACAGTAGCTCAATAATGCAATATCGATCAATTCCCTGACATAAAAAGGGAATGTGTTATTAAAAATGGCCAAGGCTGTTGATGACGAGCATAACATCTTACAAAACTTGTCATGTTGAAAATAGCAATGAGAAACAATTAAAACACGGAACAACTTGAATAATGGAAACGTTTCATCTGAGACTCAGGTTCAGATATAGCAAAAGAAAAATCCTTGAAAAGAAACACCTATAATTACAAATTACAAATAAACAACCTAGGCAAGTACGGGTATCACATCATTATATTTAGCGTCCCATTTATTGCATTAAATTCTTTAAATGGGTGGGGGGGGGGGGGGGGGTATATTCCTTGTTTTACTATTGAAAAAAAAAACTAATGCAAATATGACATTACATTATTTATCTTCCTTTATTTGTAATAAAAAATAGCAGCACAAACTGGAGGTTGTTTTCCTTTGTCTTTAGATTCATACTATCTTAATGTGGACAATTGTAGGTAGTAGAAAATATATTTCTGTCCCTTTTAAGCATCGATATGTCATATCTGATTTACAAATACAGTTAAGAGTTCTTATCCTCGACTTCATACTTTTCTCAATAAAATGTTTTACAGCATTACAGACATTGTCAGCGGTACTTCCTCAAAATAAAAAAAAATGAATATATAACTTAATGAATGTTATGCGTCCAATGTCTTTTCTGAATTTACCTTCATAAAGAATGCTCAATACCAACTATTTGATAGCCAAGGATGTATAAAAATATAGATTTAGAGCACTCTAATACCATTGGGGACAATGCTTGAACATGTTTTGTATACAACTGTACAGTTAAATAACGTATTCCCTTTATTTTAGATAAATTTAATTTTCCTTGTCAATATTATAAGGATTCTAGTCACAAAACTAAGATCCAACAATACAGACGAATCATCAAGAATCAAGTAAGTTATACATTGCACTATTATCTTATAACTACAAAAACAGTGTCTCAATAATGAGGCACCAACAAATATAAAAATCTCATTTATCAGTCAAAACTAGATGTTAGACTAAATCAGATTATATATATATTATACACCTTAACCTTATATAAAGGAGTTAATACACCAGCTAACTATAAAGACTTGTTATCTTTGGAACTTATCCTTGTTTTTGAAGACATTTAAGTGGGATGTGAATAAAATCTATTTTGAATTTCGACGATCAATTGTAACAATATTGGAAAAAAATACCATTTTAACATTCTAACTGCAATCAAAAATATTTTTCCCCGGTTTAATTGTTTAACTATGTTTATCATTTTCAGAAAAACAATAAGAGCGACAATCATTTTATTTCCTTTGTTGGGTTTGACCAACATAATATTTCTGTACAATCCAGAAGACAGAGGGAGTCTTCAGCTGACCTACCATATAACCAATGCTTTATTGCAATCAACTGGGGTAAGTCTCTCACTGTAAAACGTAACCAATTCGTTATTACAATCAACTGGGGTAGGTCTTTCACTGTAAATCGTAACTAATTCGCTAATGCTATTAACTGGTATGAGTTTTTAATTATTAAACATACTTAATAGGTAGTTGCAATCAACTTCGGTCAGTTTTTAACTTCTAAACATAAAATATGAGTTGTTGCAATCAACTGGGATAGGTCTTGTTTATCAGACACACTTAATTCGTGTTTGTAATCAATAGTCTTTAACTATTGAACGTTACTTTCTTTTAGCTACCAAATGGTTTAAATAATGCAATATTTCAATCATTTAATTTCATCTGAAATGAAGCGATCATATTGAGATAAAAATAGAATTTCTTTAGTACCAAGTCAGAAATATGACAGTTGTTTTCCATTCGTTTGATGCGTTTGAGCTTTTGATTTTGCCATTTGATAAGAGACTTTCCGTTTTTAATTTTCCTTGGAGTTCGTTATTTTTTTGTTTGTTTTTACTTTTTTCTTCCACTCACATATTTCAGTCTATTAGACATCATTCCAGATGGTGATATAAAGTTGAAGTCATCGCGTCATCCTTTGGAAATAAAAATGACGAAATCATGATTTGGTTGGGCGTTATGGAATATCTGTGTCACAGATCGCAATGTTTTTGTTTCACTTGTTGCAGCCTCTTTTTCTCGATTGTGACATCACCAAAAACGACCTAACGCTGAAATCATACTTGCTATAGGCAGTACGACGAGTGCCAAAAATAGAAAAAGAACTGTTTAACATTCTTGAGCAGATGTGTTTTATTTTGGTCCTTTCGTTTTGCGCATGTGATTAGTTTGGTAATGTCCTTATCCTAGATAAAAGGACGGGATTGTGGCTTTAAAAAATGGAGCAAATCGTGGTCGCCTGTGACACAGATATGCTATATCTGCCCAGCAAATCATGATGGCGTCCATAAAACTTTCAAGGTGATGACTTCAATCATACCAATTGGATTCCCATTAAGCAGCAATTTCATTAGGGAAATAGGGAAATAATAAAAAAAAACATTAAAGACAACGACACCCGCAAATTACCGCAAAGTAAGTGTGTTGTTGTCTTTAATGTCGTTCTATACTTTACCTTGGTGAAAGACAACTGGTAATATTATCTACTCGCAATTTACATTACCATTCAATCACTACTTCAGGTGTTGCTTCACCCATAGATGTATAAACCCACAGATAAAGCTCGTCAAAAGTTCCCTACTGCTCTCTATTGTTAGATAAAAAGAACCATGACCAAATTGACTGTCTTTGATGTTTCAAGTGTATTGTCCTCAATCAAGTTACTGTAGCTACATCTCTTATCTGTTGATCTGTATTGACCAGTACAGCAGAATAGATTTTCTTAATTGTCTTCTCGAGTTATGTCCCTTCTACTGTGAGAGTATGTCTATTTTTAGCGCACTGGACAGGCAAATAAAATGGTGAAAAATGGATGAAATCGGTCAGAAATTGCGCATTTTACAAGGGAAATATTGAACTAAATTAAACAATGTTTTTTTAAGGCTTGTATCTTTATACTTTATAAAAACTATGTTCCTGTTAGTTCCTGAAAATGGGAATAGCACGTTGTTGAACTTCTAAAATACACCTTCTCCTTGATATGCTTCATTAAGGTGTCGAACTGCGTCGAATTTGGTAAAGTAAGTTAGTTACTAAATCATAGATGTATTTTATACTAAATTATAATAAATTTAAATTTCATTCATGATGTTTATTAAATTCGTTTAAGTAAAGAGTTTTAGTGTACTATCAAAACATTCCATGTAAAGCATGGTAAATAAATATTATGGAGCAACTTTTTCCATGTTTTCTATTAATTATATTTTCAATAGACTTGTTTATAAAAGTTAACATACATTGTTTGAATTAAGTTAAATTGTGATAAAAGATATAAAATCTAAAAATGTAAATATGTAAATATGATGAAAACATTAGTTCTGGCTAAAAGAAAATTTCTTTTCGAGAATGATTTTTAATATTGTTTTACCTACAAGAACATAATTTTTTTCATAACCAAGTCATTTTAAAATATATATTTTGATTTTATTTCTTTCTGATTTTTAGCATGTTTAACTGTTTTTGATTGTCAGTTTTCTATTGTCTAGATTGTCAATCGGCATCTCAATGACCAACTGGTTCATGTCATTATCAGATAAGTGTGAAAGCCATTACAACGCACATAGAAACTTTGAAGTTTGTGTTGAGCTTCATCTATGGGTTTATACATCTATGCTTCACCATATGTAATTACAGTTTAAGGAAATCATGATAGAAAATTTTATGCAAGCTCTAAGTGTGAACCGGGTGATATATACTTCATATACCGGGGATGCTGGAATGTTTCTAAATGGAAATGAAAAGTACAATTGGAAAGCGTCAATCATCGTTTTTATCGTAGTAGTTTAGTTTTTTTCCCACCAAACCTCATTGTCAATTCAAAGATATACGTCCGACCAAATCTCATTGTCAATTCAAAGATATACGTAAGTCAGGATATGAAGGAGACTTAGCTGTAACTGTGGTATCCTTAATGTCAAACTCGATTCGTTAATAAAAGTTCCAACTTTTGAATTATTAGTGATCGGACATCCACTATATTGCGGACTTTGAAGTTAAAGGATAATTGCAGCTTCTATATTCATTATTCATTAGAAATTCCTTATGAACACACTCATTAAAGATACCAGGCTTAGTTAAGAAACTAAGGTTTCAACTCCCTCAGGAAATATTGACCTTAGATGGGTTTGGCTATTGCTTTAAGGTGCTTTTTGGTCATATAGCTTTTCAACTGTCTCGGTTTTTACACATCTTTGGCGATCAAATGTTTGGCTTTGTGTGTTCCTGATGAAGATAAATCCTAAAAAGCTTTGGACTTTATAAAGTGTTGTTTTCATTTTTTGTAAGGCCGCATGAAAATACGAAGATGGAGAGCATTGAAAACCAAAAATGTGCCAAATCACGCTAAGGTCTGTTTTGCCAAGGTTCTAAATACCTTAAATATTTAGATTAATTACACAAATTATAAACAGTAAATGTACATGGAGTCAGACTCATATGAATAATGGAATGTCGGCAAGAAAAAGAGCATAATGTGTTCTTAAAATAATGCATTTGTTTGTTAAAACGTTTTAACATTGCATTATATTGATAAATATTGAAAAGTGCTTGTGAAAAAAAATACCTGAAACCTAATTCAATCTTTTAATTTTAGGGAATCCTGCTGTCAGTGCTGTATTGTTTTATGAATGGAGAGGTAAGCTTGTTTTTATTTCCTTTAATTTATCGGAAGGTTAGTTGTAATTTCCCACGATGCAGATGAAGTTTATGAAATTCCCAGGAATGGCGAGGTAGATTTGATGTATCTGTAAATTTGTGTAGTTTTATGTCTTTCTAAGACTTATCGTTTTTGATCACGCATCTTTGTTTTTTTAATAAAAGAAAGTTTGGAAATATCCAAATTTAAGCAAATCTTTTTTCATAAACAATGTTAAATAATCTAAAGAAAGTCGTTGCAATTCGTTAGGTGTATTTGTAAGAGATAATTGGTACTAACTGATCTTTAAAAAAATGAAAACAACACGTTATAAATTTCATGCGTCCGAGGCGCTTTTATGGGATTACCTTCATCAGGTACGCTCAAATCCGAATATTTGAAAGCCAAGGATGTATAAGAACCTAAGCAGTTGAAGAGCTTTATAACCAAAAAGGAACTAAAAAAATAGCCAAATTCATCTAAGGTCAACTTTGCCTGATGGAGTTGAAACCTTAGTTTCAAAAAGGGTGGTATTATATGTTGTTGCGTTTAAACACCGTTTGTATTGGGTTCTTGTAGTGTTATGTTGACCTTTGTTTGTTAGGTCTTCTTTTTTTTTCTTTTTTCCTTTTTTTTTTATAAAAACAACTTTAGAAATTATATTCAAATTTAAGCAAATCTTTTTCATAAACAATGCTAAAAAACTAAACAAAGTTAAAGGAAAATAACACTTAAGTAATGTTGCGCGTCCGAAGTGCTTTTCTGGATTTACCTTCATTTGGAAGTAATTTGCGCGTCCGGAGCGCTTTTCTTGATTAACCTTCATTTGGAACGCTCAAACTCAAACATTTGAAAGCCAATGATATATAAGACCTAAACACGTTAAGTTTGTAGAAAGTGAGGAGGAGATATAAAAGTGGCAACCAAGAAACAAAAATCAAATGGTTTAAGTGTTTATAGTTTATCTGTATCGTTTCTCAAATTGTCTAGACATGTGACTGTATCAAAACAAGTATTCATATACTAGTATATAAGGAATTTATGAAGTATCAAATATATCGTAAATAAATAGGATATTCCAATATAACCAAGATCACAGTTGTTGTTGGGTTGTATGAAATTTAATCAAACAATTGTACCTCACGTCTTTTCAATCTCTCACTAAATAATACAAAATTTGGTGACTAGGTTGAACGAATCTATCCCATCGAACTAGAGATAAAGGATACTACAGATACAGTTAAGTCTGCCTCATATCTTGACTTACATCTAGAAATTGACAATGAGGGTCGGTTGAAAACAAAACTTTACGACAAAAGAGATGATTTCGGCTTCCCAATTGTGAACTTTCAATTTCTATGTAGCAACATTCCAGCAGCGCCTGCATACGGAGTATATATCTCCCAATTGATACGATTTTCCCGGGCTTGTGTTTCCTATCATGATTTCCTTGATAGAGGATTGCTGCTCACAAGGAAGCTATTAAACCAAGAGTTCCATATGGTGAAGTTGAAGTCATCCCTTCGTAAATTTTACGGACGCCATCACGAGTTGGTTGACCGTTGTGGAATGGCCGTTTCACAGATAATGTCGGATGTGTTCCTTGTGTCGTAGCTACAGTGCCCTCCCTTTTCGCGGGTGTGACTTACCGAATCGGACTTTTTGCCGGATTTGTGGTGACGTGGGCAACGCGACGGGTGCCACATGTGGAGCGGGATCTTCTTGTCCTTCCGGAGCACCTGAGATCACCCCCAGTTTTTGGTGGGGTTCGTCTTGCTTAGTCTTTGGTTTTCTATATTGTGTCATCTGTACTATTATTTGTCTGTTTGTCTTTTTTATTTTTGGCCATGGCGTTGTCAGTTTGTTTTCGATCTATGAGTTTGACTGTCCCTCTGGTATCTTTCGTCCCTCTTTTTTCAACATGTTTACTACCTCTTACCATTATGGTTTGTTATTAACACCAAAGACTCATTAAGAACGACTGGAGATACATTCGAAGCAGGATAATCAACCCAGCGACCCTTATTATTGTATTTGGTCTCTTTGTTAAGGGGGTCGTACATTTGTAAGCTAAGTTTTAAGATTAAAAAACAAAGCATAGGAAATATGTGTCTGTATGTATACATTTTTCTTGTTTGATCGTGCATCTGAATATTTATATGATTAAATGGGGTGTAAAAGTCAATGCTGAATCAACCCTTTATCACTAAAACAAACAAAAAAGAAATCTACAGGTCAACATATTGTATTACGCAATACATTATTTTATCCTAAACTCGCATCGACTCTAAACAAAAGTGAATAGATATAAATGAGATCTGCTTTTTCAACTTCAATTTTTCAATTAATCCGTTCTATCAATCCGAGGTACAGCATTCTAATCTAAAGGCAAATTGAACCGCAATTAAAGTCTGCAACCATTTTGATTGTGAACAGGATTTCATGCTTTCATTTTGATTGTGAACAGGATTTCATGCTTTCATTTTGATTTCAACAAGTAACCACACGATACAGAAGAATTTCTGTTATTGTTTTATAAATCACAAAGTTTTTTTTTGCAGGTACAAAGAGTAATTAAACAGAAATGGACAAGATTTAATATTCGCAGACATTTAAAAAGAGGTGGAAAATCTCGGAGCTCTCGGACTTCGGATTTCATGCTGTCTCAAACTGAGGTACATCCTTTGACTGCATTACGTAAAAGTGTTTGTCAAGCACTAAATGGTTGCCATGACGATTCTTTGTGTGATCATGGGAATGAATGTACAAATAAAGAAAGAAAAATATATTGCCCCTGTGCTTGGGACGAGGACGAAGATTGCTTGAGATGCTGTAATTTTGACTAACCCTATTGCACGTGCGATACTAACAAAAATTGTAATTATTTTCATTTGATGCACTTATTTGTTCAACTTTGGATTAAATTAATCTATTACTATTGCAATTTTTGGGGGAATATGTATAAGTTAATAGCTATTGTACTTTCCAATTGTACAGAAAGATACACGTGAAGGTTAAAATAGTTAAATTATATAAGAAAAAATATGGTCGTTTTTAATATGTGATGCAGAAATGCTAGCAAGTTGTCGTTATAATTTTGTAGATCATGGAGTGTATTTGAATATTTTAGTTTCACAGGCGAAAGAAAGTAAGATTCTGGATTGTTTTTTTAACATCATCACGTTTTGTTTTTCAAACCGTCTTGTGCATGGCAGCAATATGTTTTGGTCTTCACATTTGTAAATTATTAAAAACGATTTCGTGTACTAGTATAATTACAATGTTTATGTGTGGTGTTTTTTTAAAACAGTTCTTTTAGTTAAACAACCTCATAACCTGGATTGATATTTAGTTTTCACCCTTATTACAAAACAAATATAAGTTAGCTATATAAAGCTTGAACACTAATAAAAAGTGTAAGATTTTAAACGAAATTTTTAGTAAAATTGCAATCAATGAAATAAAATTAAGAAAAACAAAATTTTGATCTAGATTGTCTAACTACCACAATTAGTGATCAACTAACGTATTTACTAACACTTAACAGGTTTCGGAATTAACAGACAACATGACGGTAAGGCTTTTGCACTTTGTGGTGGTACTCACACTTATAAACGTTCTTGTATTCAGAAATTTAAATAGTTAATTTACTGTAGGTTCAAACGTCCATTATTCCACACCTTATTTGTTTTCAATAGTCATTTCTAATGTTCTTCTAGTTAAATAGCCTTTCTTGAACTTGCAAATGCAGAACATATTTGGTCTAAAGACGTCAAAACTTTCCAATTATTTTTATAATATAGCTTGTTTTTATATAGATTAGACCGTTAATTTCCCGTTTGAATGGTTTTACACTAGTAAATTTTGGGGCCCTTTATAGCTTGCTGTTCGGTGTGAGCCAATGCTCCGTGTTGAAGCCGTACCTTGACCTATAATGGTTTACTTTTATAAATTGTTACTTGAATGGAGAGTTGTCTCATTGGCACTCATACCAAATCTTCCTATATCTATATATTGAACAATGGGCCTACATTCTATATTCTTAATATATATACATGGTTGAGGTTTACGTATAATAGAAATGCCTATTTAAGCAAATTTTTAACATCAAAATATAGTAATTCTCGACAAGCTTTTGATCGATGGTTACAACAGCCGTCACACAAGGATTCTAAATCTCTCATTTCGCAAAAGTTAAAGAGATGAACATGGTAAAACATAGATAATAACATTAACAGTACCAATGTTATTGGACCAGATGCAGTTAATGTCACCTTGAGTGATGCCCGAGGTCAAAATATTTGAAATTCCAAACCTAATACAAACGTTGAAGAGCTGATAAAATAAAAAAAAGGAACAAAAGTGAAGCCAAACCCCGACTTAGATCAATGTCAGATGAAATCTATAGCATTTTTGGAATACTTGAGTTCAATATATTACTTAACATGCCTGTACTAAGCGGTGAATATCGCGATATTAATCAGAATATAGATATCAGACAATTATAGGACTATTATACGTTTCGTTCGTCTTTGTATAGGATGGATGTTGGCTAACAACATAATATGATAAATAAGTGTTGGGTATAAGTTATCGACAATGGTGAAACAAATGTCTTTGTATGCGTACAAATGACGTGTTGTACAAAAATAAAACTTCGCATTTAGGTATATTAGAATAAAGGTATACTGTCATTTCATTCTTTCGATACCATATGTTAATAGAGTATTATTATTCTTTTTTATTGGTGTTTATTATGAATGGCTTAACTGTTTAGTTATAGTAAGTAGCTGATATCCCGGATGTCGTTTATTTTTCCCTTCTTTTTAGTAATACTAGAACAAACCCATTACATATAGTATATAGATGCATTGCAATGTTTATTTTATATCTAGCATTAGTTCAAGTTCGATTTCATACTGAACTGCTTTACTTTCAATAATTTAATAACGTATTTAGCCTATAATGAAACCTGTAGTTACTTTAATTTAAATACATTATGATTTTGTTTTCCCTCACCTTGCAGCAATCACAACTTTATGGTACGCCATCATCTGACATGATCAATCCTTTTGTGAACAACAATCGTTATCATAAAGTAGAAACATCGATACCGGAAGAGGATATCGTAGTAAACTATAATAGTGATGAACAATGTGTTACTTTAAATCACTTGAACAAAGAAAATGCATATCCAATTGGGAGTGATGAACAATGTGTTTCAATAAACCAGGTACACACAGTTACTATAAACCAAGGGGACAGTGATGAACATTGCATTACTTTAGATGACGTGATCACAGCAAACCACGTGGACAGTAATGAACAACATGTGCGTGTTCCTCTTAATAATATCGATAATGATATCGCAATTCATAATGATAGTGACAATCATACAAGAAATGAAAACAAAAACAACATGAAATGTGACAAAAATAATTCCATATCAACAAAATCAGAAAATCATGTAATAGATGAGATGAATATTCAGGTCCGCTCGGACGGTAAAATATATATTGACAACGAGGAAACTACATACATACTGCCATCAGCAGAATCTTTCGACAATATCGAAGAGAGTTTCATTTAATCATATGGTCAGTGAAGTGAATCTTACTCTCGTAGACATTGCATTTTAACGGGATCTTGTAATTACAAAATAAGTGTAGACAAGTATCAACCAAAACTTAGCAGTTATCTTTCTAGGTCTGGACATTCACGCAATATCTACTAAAATGGGAGGTTGTTTTTCCAGGATATACGATTATTAACTTGAGCTGCATGTATAGTTCTACACTTTTTGTACTCAATATTTAGTTCACGCCTTTTCGTTTTCCTTAAAACTATGGTTATGTTTGGGTTTTTTTCAGTTTAAAAGAATATTTACCCACATTGATCGTGGAATTGCATACTAAAATGTTATCCTTGGGGTAGAAAACTTTACAAAAACATGTGATATTTGGCTAACATATTATTTCCAATACATTCCATTACAAATAAACCAATCATAAAAGTATTTCATCATATTGTTATATCAGTATTTCAAAAGTCATGAACACGTGATAAATCTTGTATTTTTGCAACTCATCACTTTGATTGTCCTTTCTGATCCTACCAGTAATCATCTGTACCAATGTGTTACTGCTGTTGTGTGTATATATATTATCATGTCTTGAACTTTTCTCTAAACTACTGGAGGAATATTATTTTCATGCAGATGCTTATGATATAAATTACTCGATATTGTATTACAAATGAACTAACCCATTTATTACGTAAGCACGATTAGAAGATTTCATATGATACTCTTCACTTCACCTAGATATTCTTCAACTCGATAAAGCAACATACAGAAGTCATTTCAAACATAAGAAATTTTTTTTTTTTTTCTTTTTAGTTATTTTAGTTTTTCGTTAATTCAAAAGATTATTATCAATATAAGTGCTTATATATCAGCATTGTTCAATGTTTTTCTTGGTCTTTTTTGTTTAAAAAAAGACTGAGGAAGATGATAGATTACCTGTATATATACTAAATGTCATTATGATCATATTGTATATTTATAAATATATTTATACAATTTAAATTATTCAGGTGATATTTTCCTATTTCATTTTTTATTTGCTCAAAAACTGTCCATGTCTCAGTTTTATTTATTGTGATGGCGGTGGTGACGACACGATAAAACGTCTACTCTTGTAAATTATGCATAATTGTGTTGTTATACAATTTACACTTCATCTTATCATTAAATTATTATAATTAAATGAATCAAATATTTAAGAGGTTGGGTTTGTATTCCATATCATTCGATATGCTAATGCGTACAATTTGTGCAATTTACTGACCGACTTGAATATCTAGCTAAGTTCTTAACGTTCACGTTCAGCTTTATTGATGATATCGTGTGCTTGCTTCTCGTGTATTCTGGTGAACTTGACAATCTTATTGTTAATAGAGAAAGTACAGATATCATAAAATGCTGTACTGTTTTATCGAAAATATATTTGTTAAGTTTAGTGGGTTGATAAGACAACAGACAGTTGGAATTCAAAGGATTCTAATTGTCCACACTCCTACTGGCCAACTTGTTTTCATACTCATGTGAGTATATTCATGAAGAAAAATAATCAAATTTCTAAAATTTCGCTTTCAAATACATGTTTGTATATTGTTTATGTCCTGTTATTCAATAATCCACATTTCAATGAGTGCTTACATTACATATCCCAGTGAAGTTGTGATTAAGAATATTACAGAAACTGAAAGGTTTGCTTGATATCATGATCTTCTCCTCGATATTAGACATTTTCGAAAACTATTCGATACCGACGCTTACACCTACACCTATGCCTACAGGTACCTTTTTGAGAAGGGCTCATCTCAATATGTACAACGATCACACGCATTTATATTATATTATTTTTTTCTAATTTACATTCTAAATACTGTATAATACTTTTTATTTTGAATGATCTGCTACTTTATTGGCTCTGTTTAGTTGCTGAGAAACAGGAACGTGTAAAGTCTTTTATAGCGTGAAACTGAATGTATAAATAATTATATATAGATGATAGTATATGTTATCTGAGTGTAATCAGGGGTGTACAAAATTTTACACCGGTGTCGAAAATGCATTGTAAAAACCAATTTATTAACTTTCCTTTACTAATTTTTATACCTGGGTATAAAATTGTTAAAATCTTATTAAGGAACTTCCACTTCACATGAATTTAACACTGGTGTTGCTGTGCGTTGTCAAATATATCTTTAATATGCATATATTTGTTTTTGTGAAAGGGGGGAGGGGTCAAAATTTAATTTTTCTGTTTAGTTTTGGGACATTGTATATTGGGGAATTTCGGGAAAAAAAAGTTTTTGTTTTATTTTGGCAACACGTGTTTTTGTAATTTTGTAATTGTTTAATTACTTTTTGCCTTTCGTTTTTACTTTTTGCATTTCGTTTTTACTTTTTGCAGTTGTTTTTCTTTTTACTTTTTGCGTTTTATTTTTGGTGGAATTTTACACTACAACCATATTTATTTCATACTTGAGTCACCGAAACGTCCATTACAAATCCTAAGACCTATTGATTTACATTGATTTGATATATGCTCGCTTCATCAGAAATAAGATACTTTATCTATATTCCGAATGCTTTCTAGCAATTCAATTCGCCAATTGTATATTCTACCGCAACACTTACGGTATTTCGTTTGAAAGATTGAAAAGAAATAAATGGAATATCACATATTCATACTTAAAATAATCCAAACCTAATTAGAGCATTCGGTGTTTCTAGCGCAGTTTCCGAATAAAACATTATATAAGAAAAAAGACAGAAAGTATTTTTTTTTATACCTGCAACCAAATTTTACGAGGTCATTCATTCAATATGTTTCGACATTTTGATACGGTCCCTATATTTTTGTAGTCAGTGTAGGTATCGGTGTTGGTGTAAGTGTCTGTGTAGACGACTTTTCGAAAATGTCTAATATGACCTCGATTTATGACTTTTGAACAGCGGTATACTACTGTTGCCTTTATTTGGCACAGATGGACGACTGCAAAGTATAGTGTATGACAAAAGTGATAATTTCGACTTTCTGATTGTTAACTTCTCATTTCTTTACAGTAACATACCCTCTGCCTCATCGGATATCGTGTACATATCTCAATTAATACGTTACGCTCGTGCTTATGCATATTAATGTGGATTCGCATTGCGGTTGATGCTATAACATCAGACACTTACCTTATAGACGCACCCAATCTCCCCCTTTTTGAATTTCTACAGTTCCCTGAGTTTTTATATTCTGAATCAATTTATGATTTTTGAACGGTAACCTACTGTTGCCTCTAGTTTAAACTATTTAACTGATTCGCAAATTTTAGTACAAATTATTTAGAAATAATACCTTGAATTAAATTCTTATCATTTCTTTTCTTGGAACACATTACTTCAGTACACTAATATTTTAGGAATGCTTTAAAATGACGTTTCTCTTTAAAATTAATAGCGGGTTTTTTTTGTAGATATTGCATTTTGAATTTTGTTCCTAACTGAAATTTGGGTTATATGTCAACAAGGAAATAACCTAATGAAAAAAAAAAAGCCAACAGGCATATAGGGGCAAGACACAGTCGTCAACAATATTCATATGTCTATTCAATATGTCAAGCTCTAAATCATCCACAGTTTATAATAGAGAGGCGAACGATACCAAAGGGACAGTCAACCTAATAGTCGAAATAGAACTGTCACACGACTAAAAGACAAGCAACGGTACACAAAACACGACATAGAAAACTAAAGACAGCAACACGAACCACACCAAAATGATAAGCAGATCCTGTATGAATACTCCATATGCAGGCGCTGCTGGAATGTTGATACATAGAAATGGAAAGTTCACAATTGTATTAAAAATTAAAACAACACTTAATAAATTGCATCCGTCCAAAGCGCTTTTTCGCTCACCTGGCCCAAGGGCCATGTGAGGCTTTTCCCATCACTTGGCGTCCGTCGTCTGTCGTCGTCGTCGTCCGTTACCTTTTAAAAAGATCATCTCCTCTGAAACTACTGAGCTAAATTTAACCAAACTTGACCACAATTATCATTGGGGTATCTAGTTTTAAAATGTGTCTGATGACCCCGACTGCCAACCAAGATGGCCGGTATGGCTAAAAATAGAACATAGGGGTAAAACGTAAGTTTTGTCTAGTATTTGGAAAACGGCTATAAATAGAGAAAATCTGACGGGGGACAGAAATGTTCAGAATGTTGAGCTCTACCTATTGTGTATTAACGTCAAAACTGTCAGACGATTTTTTATAGGAGCTTTTGTCCTAAAATGACGAATTTTACTACTTTTTTTCCATTTTTGCCTATTTTCCTGAAACTTGAATAGATAGAGAGAAACTTTAAACAGTAAAAATGATCAGCAAGACTCGTTATTAGAGTTATTGCCCTTTAACGACGATTTTTACTAATATTTTTGCCATATTGCCTCAAATCTTAAATACTAAAATAGATAGATAGAAACTTTATAGAGCAAAAGTGATCAGCAAGACAATATCTACAAATAAGTCTACTGGTAAAATTCTTCAGTCGACTGGTTATTGAAGTTATTGTTCTTTAATGACGATTTTTACCAATTTTTGAAAACTATATAAGATAGACAGAAAATTTAAATAACCAGCATAATTTAAATGATCAGCAAGACAAGATCTACAATCAGGTCAAATTATGTCAAAAAAAATTAGTAGATAGGAGTGATTGCCCTTAAATGACGATTTTTGTTTACCCTCTTTTGTGTTTTGGGCAAAAACTAAATCAGATAGAGAGAAACTGTAAACTGTAGTCTACAATGTTGAAGATGCACATAGCCCTAGGTGAGTGACACAGGCTCTTTAGAGCCTTTAGTTTTAATTTACCTTCACCAAGAACGATCAAAGCAGAATATTTGAAAGCCACCAGTTGAAAAGGTATAAGACAAAAAAGTATGTTGAAAAGTTTGAGGATAATTTAACCAGAACAATTTACCATTAAAGCTCAATTCTCCAGATAACAAAACACATGACATACGACAACTACTGACGAGATTACTGACAAGGGACAGGCACATTAAATAGTTGCGGGAATAAAGAAAAAACTCACCAAAGATAAAGTAGTTTTTATATATATCAAAATAGAGGCTGACGATATCAAAGGGATAACCAAACTTATAAGTCGAAAACGAACAATCAATGTTATGGCAAAAAAACACAAGTCTACAAAGCACAACATCGAAAAACAATGACTGGGCGTCATGAACCCCATCAAACACCGGGGTGGTCTCGGGTGCTCTGGAAGGGTACTTTCCCGCCTTTTTATTTCGATCAGTACAGAATGTTATACTTTCATGCACGTTGAAGAACGTTTACAACAGCCTTGAATAATGAAGCGTTCTGCAATATCAGAATATAAGCAAAATCTCTCAATAAATAAGTCTTTGTAGCATTCAATAAGGCTTAAGATAATAAAACTCAAGATTTCAATCAAGAAACTAATTAATTCTTCTCAAGACGTTTTTGTTTTATTTTATCAGAATATACTGGAATATGACTGTCTGGAAGTGCATTTACTAATCAATTTCAGTCTTTTGCAAATGTAAAATTCAGGAATATGACAGGAACTCGTTCCATATGTTTTTCCTGTTTTGACAAACGATTTTTGTTCATTTAGACAATTATACATAAACATCATTCAACAAAAACAAGATGCTCGGGAGTGACTTATCCCTCCGATAAGTTTATATTTGAAAAAATTGAAGGATACATTATAAAATCAATCATCTTTATCGGATACAAAAATAGTATCTTCTCTCAAAGAATCTCTTATAACGTTCGCATGTCATACTTTGTCGAAACAAGTCTGGGTGTGATACATATGTCTGGTGATTGTTTGAAAGTAACAATGGACCTTCAAACAAAGTAAGACCAGTTGCATCAGAAAATGACTTACCTTTCATAATATCAGTTGAATGGTAGTGGACAGGTAAAAGCTTTGACCACATTAAAATGCCACTAGTAAGTTGATATATTGTAACGATAAAACAATACGACCGTAGTAAATTGAAATCATTTCCTTAATCAAATGCTTGAAAAGATTTGAGAAAAGAGTATTTTGAAATATGTTGTGATTCATTGTAATGTACACTCGTAAGTTTATATTACAATCAAGAATTGATTTGACAATAAGAAAACTTAAAGTATTGTCATTGATGTAGATCCTTCGAAAC